CGGCATCGAAGCCAGAATGTCCACTGCCTTCTATTTTCAAATCGATGGCCAAACCGAGAGACTAAACGCTGAAATGGAATAGTACCTACGTGTCTATGTCTCCTTCTAACAGAATGATTGAGTCAAACGGCTTCTTATGACAGAATTCGCCGCTAGCAATTAAGTTTGTGCATCCACAAAAGCCACACCATGCTTCGCAAACTGTGGCTGCCACCCTCGATTCAGAATGACAATTGAGCTACTCGACTGGATGCCAACCAGTTTTAACGCTAAAGATTTCGCCAGGGAAATGAGGGAACTCCACGAATACCTCCGCTCCAACATCTGCACCGTACAGGACTAGCAAGAACAAGCCGTTAATGCCATACGGACACTGGCTCCATGCTATGATATCGGCGACATGGTTTTCGTCTCAGCAATGAACATCCGAACCACCCGTAACTCCCGAAAACTAGATTGGAAGAAGCTTGGCCCTTTCCCCGTCAAGGAATTAATATCGCTCTATGTTTATTGAATCGACTCGCCTCGGAGTGTGAAGATGCATCCCGTCTTTCATGTATCGCTATTAGATTCCACTGCAAATGACCCCATTGGCGGGCAAGTACAACCACCGCCCCCACCCATCGTTATCTACCAGGAGGAAGAGTACGCAGTTGAGGAAGTTCTGGACACACGGGAAACCAAGAATACTGGCCTGCAATACTTTGTTAAATGGACAGGATACACCGACCTTACATCGGAACCTGACGCATACCATAATGACACTGCTGCAGTAGATAGCTTCCATACACGTTACCCCAACAAACCTGGGCCGTCGAGAGGCAAGGCTGAGGTTAAGGCTCGCAGGAGCTCGCGCTTGAAGGTGAGGGCTAATTTCATATATCGATTGGTTAACGCATTGGGCTATGAGGAGTTGGATTAGTCAGAAAAGTTCCATTGATTTCTATCGGGTTCTAGCAGTCGCGAGAATATGAGTCACAGTGGATTTGTCATCGTTGGGGTTTCTTTGGGTATATTAGGAGGCCTCGCCTCCACTTCTTGTTCTCTTTTCCTTTCTTTCTCTTTTACGCAACGTCTTCTGTATCTACACTGTTCTTTACTATATAAGAAATACTATATATTCCCTCTTAATGGAGACCATCGCGCTGTCGCTCCTCCACTTCTATTAACGTTCACCCATACGAAAGTCCCCTATACTTTACTAATGCCTAAGTCACTAGTTTCTACTATACCAATACATACACTGTGGAATACTCGTTACTCGCCCTCTTGAGGCATCATGACTGAGAGACTAAAATTGATCACCCATGATGCAAGCAAAGAATTTTAGTGATATATTAGATACAGAGATTGGACTGTTGCTAGGTGGAAAAGTCTGGTATACAGTGATGAGTACAGTGTTGAGAAATATGAAAATCTATATATCTCTTTGACTTTCAAAACTGCAAAGGAAAAATGACTTCCCGAATGTGTTACAAGTGGCAGAAAGTCAGGAAGAATATCAAAAATTATATGGGCATGCTTTGACAGGGGTTTGAAAGAATTTCAAGTTTAGGGAGTTATATTGAGGGAATGGGGGAGTCTGAGGACAAATGCAGAAGTGTATGCCAGTGTTAGAATACTTGAGCTCTATATCTTGGATTTTTTGGTAGAGCCATATAAGAAGGGTATTAGGCCGATCTTCATGTATAATAATGCTAGGCTACATACCTCCAGTTTTATTACTCAATGATTGGAGAAGCATGGAGTTGATGTTCTTGAGGAGTGGCCTGCCTATTCATCTCATTTAAACTCGATTAAGCATGTTTGGGTACACTTCAAGAAGCTCTACTATCGACACTACGCTCATTTGGTATATGATACTATATCACCCCAAGTAATTAAGTCCCTAATGGAGGAAGCTCTACTTCATTGCTGGGAACTATTACCTGATAATTTATTTGGTACGCTGTTTGAAAGTATGCCTAGGAGAATTGAGGCTGTTATAAAGGCAAGGGGTTGGTACACAACATATTAAATGTCAAATTATCTTTATTTACCTACTATTCAACAACTATACAAAAATTCAGCTCTCCAAAGGATCAATTCTGGTTGCTGTGCTGCTACCCGTGATGGTTCGGGTGGGTCGAAACTCATTGAGACACCGCCCCGTACGATGATATATTACATCGCGCTGTGCCTACACACGCGTCATAAATGTATAAAGCACACTTTGGGCTATGGCTAGCGCCCTCCCGGGGGAAGGGATCTGGAAAAGCACTGCGCAGGGATACAGACGATGGCCCCTCCGTCTCCAAGCTGCTCAACGCAAGATCAGAAGGGGTCCGTCCAGAACCGCGTAAAACATTTCTGCAAAGTACCGAACGGACAGATACTGATTTGTTGAACCACGCAGAAGAGGGGTTCGGGGTGTAGGGTGTGGGCCATTCGATGGGATTTATTTCGCGCCTAAAGCGTGAGATTCTAGTACCTCCCAATCCCGCCGATACCTCTTCAGATCCAAATATCAGAAACCATCCCTACGAAATCCCTTCGTGGCAGAGACAATCCTATCCCACCTAGGTGCAGTCAAGAATTAAAAACACCGAAAATCAAGCGACGAGTGCTATGATATCACATCTTGGCAACATCAGCTACCCTCCTATCAACGGGTTAACTGCCTAGTCATCTCCGCTTCTAGTTCCTTCTTTTGTTCATGTTTCATGGGAGCCAGTGTGATCGTGATCTTGTCTTGCTGAAAGATCTCAAACTCAGTCTCGAGGCAACCTGTCTTGTGCCCATCACTATTCGACACAGACGATGCTTTTACCGGCCTCCAGAAGCAATTTAGAAATACTGCTTCGATACCACCAAACTCTGTCCAATAGTCGAAATTCTGATATCTAGCAGTGATTCGAACCATCTCATTCTCCCAAAAGCAGATTGAGAACCTGGTAGCGTGTTTGGGACTTCGACACCTAAACACCAAAGCCATTTCCCAGCTCCAAATTTCATGAAGTGAACCGATCCAGCTCACACGACTCTCCGGGCCGGGAGTAGAGAAAATGCTCGAAGGTAAGTGTCTTGTCCTCTAGGCCTTTAGAATAAACTACCGCGGCTGCCTCAAATCTGAGACCTTTGACATCCGATCACGTCCGACTTTCCCAACCGATAGGATTAAAAACAAATACTCAACGAAAAGCCCGTCTTGTGGAGCTATATATATTGCCGGAGTTTTCATCATCGTGGTTTCCTTTACTGTTGTTGACCCGTTCTTCACTACATCTCCGGGGGGTGTATAATCCGGGTGACCGAGAGATCTGAGCTTCAATGAAAGCCGAGAACCCATAACTATAACACGGAACGATCATGCAGGTGGTGATATCTGAACTTAATATCTCGGCCCTCTAATAATCTTCCGATTAATGTGTTCAGTTCTTGACTAATATTAGTGGTTGGAACATCCAGGACACGATAACTGAGCTCGAGTTCTTTTGACTACTCCTAGCTTCATAGCGTTTCCGAACACGACCAATATTGCATGGTGTAGAAAAAGGTGGATTTGGTGCTTTTTTGTATGGCATGTAATAGCAGTTGTGCTTGGAAGCGTCATGAATATGAGTGGTAGAGCGGTGCATATTTGCCTAATAGAAAACAAGAGTGTGAGTGCACACACAGCAATGACACGCAGCAAGCTCAGATGAGGCCTAGAGAATATCAAAGGAGAATCCGTCTTTTATCTACTTTCCCATCGAGTCTGCCTCGTGAGGACGACGCAAGGCCGAATCGGACATGGCCTGAGACAAGCATACATACCCGCTCTTCGAGACGTGCTCACGGGCTGCAAAAACGGAGATAAGCTCCATACATTTGAGGAAAAAGTCGGCTAGATTTAAATAGACTCCAGATCGTTTAATGCTTGGCAAGCACCAAACTCATTCTCAAAGGTAAATTTATCGAAACTCAAGAGGTTTCCATGATTCCCAATGTCTTCGTCCAATTGATTCTCCGGGAAAGGGTTATTTCGGGAAATCACAATCCAAATTTGGACTCGAAGCTGACGGCAATATGGATAGCTATTCATTCTTAGTCTACACCCTCGATGCTATTTATTCAAGCATCTTTCAGCATCCTACAGGATTTGCTTTAGACGGGGTGTTCATACACGTTGCAGAAAGAGTCGCAACTTCATGGGGGACAGCCATTGAGCTGCTTCACTTTCCTAAGACTTCAGTGTCAGGAATCATTGACATCCGGACGAACCTGGGATTCTGGCGTCACCTGCATGGGGCGCTCTAACTACGCGGGGAGAGCTTGTTCAATCATCCGCCGAGTAGTAGATTAATCAAACGGGGTTGCTCCCTGCCGCATGTGTATAGCTGATCGACAAGAAACTTGCACATAGAGAAGAACTCTCCGCTTCAACGTCTATTGACGCACCGAACACCCAGCAACCGGGGATTCAGGATACGAAGATGCAGAGTAATGTGTGTATAGAGTTCTACCTCTCCCCAATGGTATAGCTGGTATCTGGGCCACGTTCGGAGGTGTCGATATGTCCGAGTTCAGCACAGATAGAGTAAGGACCTGTCTTTCCCGTCGATTCACCTGCGCCGAGCTCTCTGGGTATCCCGCATATGCACTGGACTTCACTGATGAATAATATCCTCACTGACACAATCCCTAGCAGACGCCTCACATCACCTCACATTCCTGTTGCAAGTCCAGTTGCGATTGCGATACCTATTGGGGTTCTCCATGCAGCGATCCCGGGTCCAGGCTCCTCTGACTCGCTCGTGCAGACATGACTTAGTGAAGACTTCCTCTACTCGTTAGTAGATAGCGCTCGCTACGAGTCTGCTACTGAGCGGAAGCCCCGCGTAGAAATTCCCGCGTATAAAGACCCACTCTGCCAGCGCTAATCCCTCGAAGGGCACCCCCCAGAATACTGTCACTCACAAAACTCATACTACCTCTTTTTTGATATTCTTCCAATTCCAAGAGATGGGGTCTCAAGTTTCATGTGTGGAGGATCTCACTCCCCACCTCACCACCTTCAATCTTCTCATATCACTACCATTACTGGTACGTGCCCTCCTCTCCACATTCCCTCCACGCAAGCACTGACTTCCCCCTCCCCCCTCTTCTCACAGGGGACGTGATATCTCGTCACTGAAGCCATCTATAACCGCTTCCTCAACCCAAACAAGCAGTACCCCGGACCACTTCTAGCTGCTCTCACCAAGGTAACCCCCTCTCCCTTACATATCCATCTTGCTCAAAACCCACCAATCTCTCTAGCACTACATCGACATCCCCTGGCTCACCGGCCGCTACCCCACGCACATACACGCCCTACACCAGCGCTACGGCCCCGTAGTCCGCATCAGCCCCGACGAGCTCTCCTACGCCTCTGCATCCTCCTGGAAAGATATATACGGCACCAGCAGCACACGCAAGCCCTTCCTGAAGTCTGCATTCTACGATGACGGAACCGCCCCCTCCATCGTGTCCGCCCGCGACCCTGCTACCCACCGCCGCATCCACCGTCTTCTCTCCCCCGGCTTCACGGCCCGCAGCATAGGAGAGCAGGAGCCACTCGTGCAGGGCCATGTCGACCTCTTTTTGTCACAGGTGGGTAGGTACGCGACGGGATCGGAGGGCGGGAATATGGTGGGCTGGTACACGTGGGTTGCGTTTAATATTATTGGGGGCCTCGCATTTGGGGAGCCGTTTGGGAGCCTAGATGATGGTGAGTATACTTGATCCTAGGGGTGACAGAGACGTGGGTTAATTGTGCGATGTAGGGAAGCCGCATTTTGGGTTGAGAACGTGTTTGGCGCGCTGGCCGCGACGGCGTGGATCTGGACGTTTAAGAAGAATAGGTTGCTGCAGCACCTGATCCCGTACCTGCTTCCAAAGAGCGTCAAGGAGGCGAGAGTAAAGCACCTCGGCTACTGCATGGACAAGATCTCGCAGTAACTTCCTGCAGCCATGTCTGTTTATACTGCGCTTTCTAATGCATCATCCATCCACCGAGACGCCTCCGGGGTAAGACAGCTAGAAAGGATCTCTTATCTGTCCTTGTTGCTCAGCACACCTCCGGCGACTCATTCACAACGGAAGAGATACGCGGGAACGCCGGAAACATCATGTACCCCCCTCCTCCTGCCTCCCCAAGCCAAAGGCACCGTACTAACCGCGCACCCCATCTACAGCGTTGCAGGCTCCGAAACAACTGCCAGCTTCCTCTGCGGTGTCACCTGGTACCTCGGGCGCGGCCCAGCCGCGTACAAGAAGCTCACCGACGAGATCCGCAGCGCCTTCTCCAGCTACGAGGACATTAATGGTCGCGCAACGGAGCACCTGGTTTACTTGAAGGCCGTGATCGAGGAGGGGCTGCGCCTGTACCCGCCCGTGGGATTGGGAGCGCCGCGTGTCAGCCCTGGTGAGACGGTAGATGAGTGTTGGGTGTCTAAGGGGGTAAGTATCCGCTCCTCTGGAAGTTACGTAGGGAGCTAATACACGGGGATCGATAGACAGTGGTCATGTCGTCCTTTTACGCCGCCGGGCGCTCAGAGGATAACTTTCATAGACCCGACGACTTTTTGCCGGAGCGGTGGATCGATCCGGAGTGTACGGATAAGAACAATGGCAGTCAACCTTTCCTGCTGGGATCGAGGGTATGTATTGGAAGAGCGTGAGTGTCCCCCTGCCCCCCCCCCCCCCCCCGGGCCCAAATCACCCAGATTTGAGTGAAATCGGGTATCGCTGACAGATGCATGATGGACTGGTTAGGCTGGTGCTGCTGGAGATACGACTCATCATGGCCAAGATGCTGTGGGCGTACAATATGGAGCTAGTCGATCCAGCCCAGGAGTGGTTGAGTGAGAATGGCTTTGCCGTGGTGTGGGAGAAGCCCGCCTTATATGTTCGGTACACGAGAAGGCAGGGAGTGGGTAGCTGAATGGGGGCAGGTTCAGTGGGAACAGTAGGGATGTCTGTCACATATATATATTGATAGGGTGCGGGAACAACACCGATTACAGTCGGCTCCCCATCATATCACCAAAACATCACCATCCTCCAGAACCACTACAGTAGGCTAACAACCTTGGCCACTCCACAAAATGTCACCTTCTCAGTAGCGAAAACAGAACTGATGCACTGACGAACACCAAGAGACAAATCCCCAATCTGCTCCACCCCAATCTTCCTAGATGGACAGGAGTTTCAACCCGGGCATCAAGTCAGATGGGTTGGCTTCTGGCTCTCCCCCTCATTCAACCCCAACATTCACATCCTAATGAGGCTAGGTTTGGCAAGGTCAGCCTTCGGACTTATGCAACGCTTCTCCTCAGCAGGCAAATGCCTCTCCTCCCGCAACTACCAGAAGGCGGCCACACTAGCAATAAGACTCATGCTCACCTATGGCACAAACGTCCTCACCTCCACCTCCGCCCTCAAACCCATGACAACCTTCTGGAACTCAACCCCGGTGGGCCACAGGATGCTTCAGAGCCATCAACTGCAAAGTCTTGTGGGCAGAGGCTGACCCACCCCCCCTTGACCTCTACCTCCACTACCTCAAATGCAAATACACGATACGAATCCTTCACGCATCCCTTCCCAGAAACCCTGTGACGGGTAGGACGAGCCCCTCCTTCCCAACCATCTCCAACCACAGAACTTATTCACATACACAACTCCTCAAAGGTCTTCCCAACCCCCCCAAAAAATGGAACTCGACTGCCATAAAAGTCGTCGCCCACCTACCCATCGAACTCCTCGCATCCCTTCTCTCCCCATGATAGCAGGAGGCATCGCCCCGATACGAATGAACCACCACGCAAAAATGCAACTCCTCACCAACTGGCGGCACTACTACCCACCTCCTGAGTACTACCCCCAGCCACCCATCACCACCCCACTACCCTTCAACGACCTCCACAAATTCATCGCAACGCGCATCCACCAGTTCAGGTCAGGAAAGAGCTACCTTCGAGCCCAAAAAACCTGTATGGCTGCGCACCTCCCCTCAAAATGCGAACGCTGCAATGCAATAGAAGAAACACCAGAACATGCCATCCTCCACTGCCCGGCACTCGCCCCAAACAGACACGGCCTGTTCCAGATCATCACATCACTAAATGACATCTGGAATGGCCAGAACCTCACTATAGCTTTAGGCACCTTCATAGCAACCACAAAAGTCGGATTCCCCAGAAGCGCCCCCCCCTCACCCCTCGCCACAAGCTCAACGACCATGTCGACCCTCACATCGATTCCCACCACATCCTCCTCATACTCGTTAACGGGCCCGATCCCCGCAATCTACGACTCATAAGAAAGACCCACATTGGGCACACGGGCTCAGCCCACAAACTTTTCCTTTGTCCTGCGCTGCATTGCTTTACTTTCCTTGTATATTTTTCAATGCGTTTTGTTTTGTTTTCTTTATGGGGACGTATTCAAGAAAGCCCGGGGTTAGGTCTCTTTACGCCATAGTTTATACTGCATGCGACCATTCTGTACCTAGAAACTAGAAATGAAATGACTTCACACACACACACACGCGGGAACAACACCGGTGTTCGCCGTGCAGCCAAGGTCTCCTCTAACGAGATAATGAGATAACGGGATAATTGTGGCAGTCACAAACCGTTGCAACCAAACGGGTCATGATTCCGGGTTGCAACCAAACGGACCCCTGTCATTTTACTCTTTGTATTTTATATAGGCCCTTTTCAAGCACATATTAAAAGGACGAGAGCTTTCAGGATCAAAATAGCACCCCGCTCATAATAAAGTCATACTCTCAATAAAGACCAAAAAACAGAAACAAACGTAAATCTAAACACAACGTTTGAACCGAACGCCGACCGAGCCATGGGGGTGCCAGCGAGCAACGCCAAATCAAAAGACAGTTTATGTGCCCAAACAAAAAAGGAAACGCCAATTACCGAAGCAATGTATCTACCGATAGCCGAGGACCCATAGGAAAGATACTGGCCATTACCTATGCACTCGTACAAGCTTATTTTTCTGGCAGTTGGAGCTGAGTTAGCTCTGATAAAAAAAAAGTGGAGCTTAATCTGCTTACTTGCATAACAGTAATTGCCGCCACCTCGGATACAATGTTCAACCTACATCATATTTTTGAGCATAGAGTTTTGCTTATCAGACGTGTGCCCATAGAGTACACTTCCTAGGATAACGCCTTCGGTGACTTTCATCTCTAAGTGGAGAGCTTCATCGAGTATGTTGATTTTTTCTTCGAGTTTGTTGATAGAAGCACGATTGTCTGCAACGAGGTACATACCAACAACAATAGTTGCAGCAGCACTCATTAGGCCTCCGAAGTGTGTGCGAACAAGAGCTAGGAAAGCAGACTAGTTAATCACCGTGTCGTAGTCACAGTGAAGACAGCAGGAAGTACGTACTGAAGCTCATCTTGAATCTTAATGTGTGAACCGGTTCCTCCGTTATGTGTAGAACTGCTATTGCTTAAGGATGATTCTGCTGGTTAACCTATTCAGTCAGCCTTCGATAAACTGCCCAGCTATAGAGAAACCACGGTATTGAATAGACTTACTACCTCTGTAGATGCGCTGTTGAGAACTAGAACGCTTTCTTGCTGTTCGAGATCACTGAATAAAAGACTACATATCCCTTCGTTCGTGCCCGCGATTCACATAGAATAGCCGAGTTGACACTCAAAATCCTAACTGCTACAAGGGATAGATACCCTCTAGGAGTAGAAAGATCTGTTGGAAAGGAGGTCACAAACTGTGACTTCGAGCCTAAAGAGGTTCGCGGAGTGTGGGTTAGGTGTGCTCGAGATAAAAGTCGCTGGAACAAACACCCCCAATAGCGTTTATGTCAAAACGAACGAAGGGATAAGTCTGAAGCGACCACTAGACCGTGTGCTAAAACAGTTTCACCAAAACTTTCCTGACTTGGCCATGAACTAACCCTGATGTCCACTCCAAAATTACCCTAACCCACCCCAGACCTCAATGTTTACTTTAACCAGTTTAAAACTGTCTGTTAGCAACTCAGTTCGAGACTTCCGGGTTCGTCACGGGCCCTTCCAAAAGATACTTCTTCTTTTGCCTAGTTAGCACAAGTCTGGACAGGTACTTGCTAACATTAAGCCATCGCCAAGCAATGTTCCCGGCACACGTGCTTTAAGGTAACGCGCCGAGGATGCGACACATCGTATATTTATTACCCGGCCTTAGATAAGAGGTCGCTTAAATAGAAAAGGGCTTGGGTCTTTTTCTCCATCTCCGTTACAACAACTCTGTTCAACGAACTCCACCGTCAGCTCCATCGTTTCTACAGCCACAAACACACCAAGCAATCAGCGACAACAGTAATCTCGGTCTCGAAGTGTTTGTTTTAAAGTGAGTTCTTACGGTTGCTTGCACGCAGTAGCAAAACCTTTGAAAGAACTAAGAGACTAACTTAATGACAGCGAGAACCACCAGCATTCAAAGATTTAAGTTCAATGGCTTTCCAACGTAATACACAGTCTCCGTCAAGAAATATCTTAGCTAAGCATGGATCCAGGTATTGCCATTTGGGCTGCAACCAACTCCGCCATCGTCACTCCTGGCACAGTCCTCCTCATGGGTTTAGTCACCATATGGGATAGTCACCGTGGACGAAATCATCAAGTCACCACTATCGAAGCTAATCTCGGCACAATGATTGGTGTAGTCGACAAGAAGGTTGATGTACTCGACAAGAAGGTTGATGTACTCGACAAGAAGGTTGATGTACTCGACACGGAAATCAAGCATACTCAAGCAATCGCCTTAGGAAGTGCATACGTAAGCTTCACTGGAAACCAAGGCATGAAGAACAAATGGGCGAGGGATATCGAGAAGTGTGTTATTTCCGACTATAAGGACTGCAGCGCAGTAAAGGGTATCACGAAGGTTGCGTCTGGAAAGTAAGGAGTTCTTTCTATAACAGTTAAAGGTAGGGTTCGGTATGGGGACAATCGGTCTTGGCTTGGGAGGAGTACGTTATTGCACCGGTCCTTCAAGTTACTGGCTTCTTTCGCTGACATATCTCTAGATGATGCTTAAGGTTTTTTACTACGATGCGTAAGTAAAGGCTGAAGTTCTTGTAACTATTGATATAGCTGTTGATAGAGCAGTTGCCAAAGCCATAATCCGGATGGAGAATGGCGATTTGAAGGACGTGGACGCTGGGAAAGCAGTCGCAGCGAAGAGTGCAGGAAAAGCGTGATGGAAATAAAAGTTTGTTCTTGTTCAGGTTTACATAGGAATGAGCTCGCCCCTCGTTTTTTTGTATACCATTTGTATAAATCGGGTATTAGAGGCTTTTAGTCGTACCCTGTTCTCATCCTCATTTTTGCAACGCTGCGCCGAGAATGCGCCGAGCCTGCAACCTGTAATGCAGTCAATGATTCTAGTACATATTTAGTTAGTTGCAGAAGAAAAGAATATCAAAATGACAGTTGTTCCATGGCCCGTTGATCCCATACCATCGTGAAGAATGAGTTCCTCTGCCCTCAAGATCATCAAACAAATAGGTGAGAAAACCCGAGAAAATTTTAAAAAAAGTCCCGGAGACATGTAGTCTTTCTTTATCTCAATGAGCAGTTTGTTTTCTATCATACCCGTATGTCAAGAATTGACTACTTCACCCTAAGCGATGATGATTTCCGCCACTTCACAAGGTTCAGCTCTGGGGATTTGGTACAGGTATGACTGTCATATCTAAAGGGCGAAATTGAGATTAAATTTGATTTTCAGATTGCGGCACTGCTTGAAATTCCGGCCTGTTTCCAGACTCCTTCAGGTGTACCTTTCACCAGAGAGGAAGGCCTCTTTCTACTTTGCGCCCGTCCGGCCTGGGCAACCCGCTTGGGAACCTTAGAGTTCATGTTCGGATATCACTATACCTCGATCTCGCAGTACACAAATTTGATTCTTGATACCAATTGGGATTTTCTGCTACGGGATTTCGAGTCAGGACACTTGGGACCAGATCGCCTAGCTGAGTTTGCTCGCAAAGTCCACAGCAAGGGCGCACCGTTGGATAAATGCTGGGGATTTATTGATTGCACTATTCGTCAAATATGTAGTCCGTCCAGGTGGCAAAGAGACTGCTATAACGGGTATAAACATATGCATGCGTTGAAATACTCGGCAGTTAAATGCCCAGATGGGTTGATATACCAGCTACATGGTCCTTGAGAAGATCGTAGAAACGATAATGCTCTTTTACACGACAGTGGTGTACTCGAGCGTTGCCATAGGTATGCAGATGGTCACTATATGTATGGCGATCCTGCATACCGATTGTCATCAGTCCTTTTATGCCCGTACTCACACCTGGCTGCTGAATTGTACAGAGAGCAGAGAATATTCAATGAATGTATGTCATCATGTAGGGAGGCCGTGGAGTGGGGATTTGCAGGCGTATTAAATTATGGACGTCTTTGGACTTTAAACTTACACAAAGATTATTTAGTTCCCCAATTGAGTCACAATATCGAGTAGCAGTTTTGCTAACCAATATGTACATATGTCTGTACGGGTCTGGTACTACTAAGTATTTTAACTGTTCGCCTCCCACTTTAAAATACTATTTAAAAAGAAATCTACATAATCGTATATAAGAAAGGTATCACGGGGGTGGTGTTGCTTCAACCTGTACAATAGAATCCACAGCAAGATAATCAATTGCAGAAACATGTCTTGTACAGCGGTGGGTAATAAGTGATCAGACAGAACGCCACCAAAATACGCATTTGCAGGCAACATTGTGGCTAGGCCGTCCGATAACTTAATACCCACCGCTATACGTTGGAAAAGACTTCTAATATCAGCAGAAATATCAACGAGTTCCTTCAAATAACTCTCTATCCGTTCTATCCTTGTTCTATTCAATTCGTGGATACTACCCATTCATCGGACGTCCATCGATTGGTTATCACGCCTGAAGGACACTCTGGATATTCCGGATGTCCGCTGGATGGGTATCCCATTCATTGGACTTTTGTTTAGTTGTGGAACCGATACCACCGGACCCGATGGAATAAACACTGAGATGGCGGAATAAAGGCCCCAGAGAGAACATGTCTGATAGGAGCTGATTAGCATCAAAAAGAGGTAATTGGTACCGGAAGGAATTAACAAAGGAGATCGAGAAGACGGCTTGGATTAAGAAACGATATGGGTATAAAGTACTACCAGAGCTTAAGTATAAATTCTTTCCTTATTCCCTCTGCCGGTCAAGAACTCGGCTTCAAGACTACGCGAGCATATAGTGGTGCTGACGCTTTGCCAGATAGACAATTTGTTAACCGCTGTCACTGTTCTTGTTTTGTTCTGTGGGCACGTTATAGTAAAATCTCCGATAAATGGGTAGCGCCGGCGAATGGGACAGAACATCCTCTGTTCCGTCATTTTCCCCTTCTCAATTAAGTTACTGACAGCTTGATTCATACGGTTTCATTGTTCTTCTTCTGCCCCGGTCTGAGCACGAGAGAGTTGTGTATAAAGGGGGGAAAGATGAGTAGCGGGTAGCTGAGTCTGTTGTCCAATACTATGAGAGTCGCTACCAATACCATCTGTGCCCGCAGTAAGAAAATGTACGCTCAAATTACCGGAGCTTGAAGAGTCTGCCATAAACTCCACCTCTCCATTCTCTTGGCGCCGGATTTTTGAGGGCCGCAGCGAGGAAGAGTGCATCCTCCGCTTTTGTGGACTGACAGATCTTGGTTCTTCGGTATCAATAACATTTGCAGGATCGAGTGATTCAACATCAATCAAGCCTTTACTAGCTGCTCGGCGTAATAGCGCTGCACTTTGTTGTTGCTCGTCTTCCTCTCTTTTCTTCTCCAGCGACCTGTTCTCTTTATCACTGGTAACCTTCTCCAAATCATGGGCGATACACCCCAACCCTGATGCTAAACCATCTGCTAACTATAAGATTTTACCGAGTTAGGACATGACGGTTGAATTCAGCGCGAAGAGTAGATCGTTATGATATAGCATACCTATTCGGCCGTAAAGGGAAAGCGGCGCGGCTTTGTTCTAGGCTTTTTCTTCGCACGCTCGCCAAATAGTTTTTCCACCTCAGCATCGCTCAACTGCTCCTTGAACTAAATCAAGTAACGCAAGTCCTTTCCCACCACTCCCCACTTCACTAAAACAACGGACTGGTAATATCCATCTTTCTGCAATAGCTACAGCACCTCTTGCCAGGCAGCGCTCTTCTACTTATTAGGAACAGCGTAAGATTTATGCTTCTATACCTCCCTTACCATCGCCTTCAACTGTCCCAAAGATGAACCCGCTGATTCTAACAAGTCTACAGGCCCTTCACCAAACCGTTCCGCATATATCTCGTCGTTTGGCTCGGCAAAATGTCGGAAGGTCATGAAACCAATTGATGGAATCTGAGAGCGAGTGGGTCTTGATTGAGCTGGAGGTACTGGAGATGAAGGAAGATCTGGAAGCCTTTGACTGCTAGCTGGAGATGAAAAACTAGCTGTAGATGAGACTGGATGGAATATGCGATGATTTGCCTGGGCCCGGGCCCAAGCCCCTTCTGACAGAGGGATAAAGGATACAGGTCTCCCAGACAACATCTGCTGCTGAAGGTTACTCTGCGCTCTTGAGAAGTTTTGTTCCATCATCTATACTTGTAATTAGAAAGGATCGTATACTTGTTGTTAAGAATGGAAAAGGTTGTGAACTTAGGATTTCCCCCGCTCCACACCCCTCACATACCGGATCCGCCCTGATCCTGCATATACATTGTCGTCCTTTTTTGCCTTATATGTCCTAGAACCCGCTTTGCCTGGACGAAAAATGATTTTTGCGCAACCGACTAAAAGCCTCTATTCTTAAGAATAACAGAATCGGAGTTTACTCAGAACGATCGATTCAACGGGAATAGATTCAATAAAAGGAGTTTCATTCAGAGTATTCACTCATTTAGAGCGCGGCCGGCAGCCACGAGTGTAGCGAGTGAATCTTAACTAACGAGCGTGGGCGAGTGGAGGAAAAGGAGTGACTGTAGGGGTCGCGGTGGAATAGCGTTTGGGAAGCACGGTCAAATTGCTGTACTTTATACGATACACCGATTAATTATGGTAAGGAGGGGGTATGATTCCCCCCCCTCCTGGCTGTCCATCAGTCCATCTGTCTGGATAGAGCCCCGCCCGCAAAAACAGAAGTACCTTTTTTGCTGTGTTTGCCACATGGACACTCGCCACTGTTTATAATCCCAAGTCCACCGGTCCGTACCGAGCACCCTTGTGGTTGGACAGGCGGGAGGTCGCAGTGGTGACCAGGTTGGCTGGGTGCGGGAGGGGGCAGATATTTCGAAGTTCACGCTCTGATTACTATTAGTCTACTGACGTAGTTCAATGGGGCCGGCGGTAGGGGGTAAGGTTTTTACACCTTGAGTAGACAAATGTCCCAATTATGACGCTTCATTTCCTCCAGAGAAGTAATACCGATACTTGCAGCGATATCCGCACTGCATGAAGTTGAAGTGGTGAAATGCATGCGCTGCAACCCTCGATAGAAGCGTGATGGTTTAGTGTGCAGTGATCGATAATGAGCCTCGAGGTATTACAGCTCTAGTCTGCTCGGCGGCGGCTGGTCGCGGGGATTTCGGTGTCCTGCGCAGACCCCCGGGGTTGGATAGGGGCTGGTCGGCGTGCGTGGCAGTGTCCACCGTTTCGCATGCATGATTAGTGCATTGCTGGTAGTAAAGATATGGGTTAAGAGAGCTTACGGTACCCTCCATACCTTAATACTAGATCGATATACATATACAGCTAGTACACGTAGTCAGACTTCAAGTAGAGCTTGTTTGGGTTGGTTTAGTGTGATCGATGAGCAGAAGGAAAGGCTTGACCTGACTCGTGATAGCCCCTGCAAGACTTGTCTCGACTTGTAAAAGCTCGAGTAGCTCGAGCTGAGCTCGCCTTTTCAGTGGCCCCAGATAGGAGTTCCAGAAGTCATTATAGCTCTCTCTATTCAAACTTATGTTGTCAAGATTAGGGTTCACTGCTTCGAGAGTTTATAAATAAAATGGCGGAAGGATAATATTGGCATATCTATTATGGATTTCAGGCAGGGATATTCAGAGATAACACCGAAAAGGCTCTAGCTTTTCGAGTCGAGCACCAGGAAAAGCTCGAACCAACACGACTCGTGAGGGTAGCTGCTCGTGGCTGCTCGAGCTTTGGGCTCAAGTTGAGGACTTGAGTTAATTCGTCTCGTTGACAACACTAGGTTGGTCCAAGGGATGTGGTCGCGGTCACACTGGAATATAGGTCGCTGAAGAATCACCGCGGAAGTGGAGGAATGTAGGTGAGAGTTAAGATCTGATGCCTTCTTTGAACGAGGCTTGTTACGAGTGATGGGAACACTGCCGGGGTGGGTTTTCTATCGTAGAAATCTCCAAATCTATATTGGAGTAGAGTGAAATTCGCCTTCTTCTTCTATTCTCAATAAATGTGTATTTCTCCACTTGCACCTTCCAGTAGGGCGTAGCTGCTGCGGCTGGATGCGACGCCACGGCAGATACGCCCTCAGGGCAGAGCAGGGACATTGAATATCACTCGCTTCCCGGCTACGAATGTACTTGAAATCTTTCGTTCGTTGTTGCCCCTGGTATATATTCTTGGGCGACCAACCCGGAGCCTCCCAACCAAGCCGGCGCAACGCTGCTAGCGTAGGGTGTATTAATAAGAAGCGAGTGATGTTTCATGACTACGCACCCACAGTCGCTACAGTGTGCTGACAGGGGATTCTCGGGCTGGTATTCAAGAAGATTCGAAAAAGGCACAGGCACCGCTGATAGTGGAAAACTGCTTTCAGTGATGATACAGGATTTGGACGTTTACGGGATGGATGACGGGGTGTATAAAGTGACTAGGATTACCAGGCTTGGCCGGGTTCGTGCCCGGCGGGGTGGGCTTGTGATTAGAATGGTCGAAATGCTCTCCTCCCCGAGCTCAAATGATAGACGAATGAATGTATTGCTGATACTACTGATTGAGACGTCGCACGGCGTTTATCTCCGGTCCACATCTTATATAATACGGGGGCTGAGATTGATCATCGAATCTCACTCGCTTCCCGGTTTCGAAATTTGTCAGATTAACTACGCTTTCGGTCGTTAGAGGGTTTCGTACATGTTAGGGAAATTAATTTAAACTTCCCAATCAGGCCCATTTTGCGCTGCCAGCGCACGTGGAGAGTATCAATGACCCGAGTGATATTCCATGATTAAGCACGCAAGGTCGTGTCCAAAGAGTCGCAGAAGCCTGTAACGGAGCCAAAGCTGCTCTAGATGGTGGTACGACACTTGACGGAAGGGTTTTGTGAGCTCCCAAGTGGGATATAACGTTGCCAGACCTGAAATGTTAAGCCGTCTTCTCATTGAGAAAGAGTTTAACCAGAAGACGAACTTGTACAGCGGTGGGTAATAAGTCATCAGACGGAACGCCACCAAAATACGCGTTTGCAGGCAAAATTGTGGCTAGGTCGTCCGATGACTTATTACCCACCGCTGTACTAGTCAGGGGGTCGAAGCTCATTCCATCGCGTTATAATATGATCTTCAACGAATTAAATTTATTGGTAATACAACTACTCAAGGCACGCGGTCCCCACATATATCTCCTACCCGTACCCTGCTAAAGTGGTGAGCGGGAATTAATCATCAGGCATCACTCAATTATCAGTGGTGTTACTTCACCCCATTGATTTGATGTTCGAAGTCTTTAACTACATGTGCTCCTACATATAGCTTGTCTGCGGCAAACTCATCGCGGAGAGATAATATATCACTCGATTCTATCGACAATCATTAGCTCTGGGAGCAATAGATGGTTTCACCAAGAATTATCGTCCTATCTTCTAAATGCAAAACAGTATTGACCAAAGACTTGGCACCTCGGTGGGTATACCCAGGTGCAACGGAGCAATCTCGATCGACCCAATCCGACCTGTTAATGTGAATTGAGGGACTAAACAAACTCCATTTAATATCAACCCATAGTTTCCTGCTTATTCTGTAGAAGTGGTAGGCGGCCGGGCGCCGAAGACTATGTGGGGGTCTGTGGGTTTAATCGGGGAGAGTGGTTGCCGGGGATCGTGGAGGGGCGGTCGGCGGTCTCCCTGGCCGGGTCCCGGTGCCGGCGGTGGATCGGTTGGTTGGTTTTCGGTGGTTTAGCAGTGTCTTTCTAGGTGGGTCGCCTTCGGTGCCGGGCGATGGTAAGTGTTCCGATCTATTATTCAGGATTTGCTGACATTTAGGTCTAGATTGCTATACTGGCGCGACTGGCAGCCTCACAGCTAGGCCTCCCTTTCTATAATTCTCAGATCGACCGGCGCTCTCCTGGGTGGGCTTCACTTTATGTCTCTTGGAATATCTGAATTTCCATTATTCACTCGACCGGCATCTTCGGGAGTCGGCTTCACGTTCTCCTCAGACCCTCTTAATCTATCAACTTGGCCGGTGCCCTTCTAGGGCTGTCTCCCCTTCCTACGAAATCTTTCTTAAAATATCAGCTCGACCGCAGGTGCTCTTTTAGAGTAGACCTCCCTTTCCTGATCTCGGGTGGCTGAATATATCTGATCGACCAGTACCTTAATAAGGTAGGCGCTCTTTTCGCCACTAATCCTTAAAAGATGTGCTCGACCGCGGCCGGCACCCTAAAATGCAGGCTTCAATTTCTACTCTCATATCTACTCTTCCTGCTCAACCGGCTCCCTTCTGGGAAGACTTTCCTTCTATTCCCCAATTACTACTTAATTATCTTTACCAAAAAAATATTAAGATAGGTTTTGTGTTCACTCTCATGTCTCAATATCCGTTCGGCCAGCATCTTGGCAGATAGGTTTCATTTATCCTCAGCTCGACCGTCGCATTAATCAGGTAGGTTTTAGTTCTTCCTGGAACTCTATACATGAAAAGGCTTGGGCTTTGTTTTGGCTTGGTATTGCCTAGCGCCTATACTCGCCCGGCACCCTAGGTAGTAAGTATTAGTTCCAGGGTAATCTATTGTAACGGAGCCATTTCAACTGTTTGGTATATGACTACACACAGGGCCTGGTTACATTGTGAGAGTTATTGTTAGAAGTGTAGAAATAGGGCATTGCGACATCGGTTATGTATGGAATTACTCATATATAAGGGATGACTCATAGAAGGAACAGGGGATTCAGACAAGGTTTAATGTCAGGGATTATGTAATTGGGAGATCACGTGGTATCAGAATATCTGTATATATAATATCTGTATATATAGAGCACTCAAACATCCATATAGTTGCTGGAACTTTAGCGGCGTAGTAGTATCTTCTTCGCACTACAAAATACATCCTCCCTGAAGGTCATGTGCTCAAATCACGCTCAAGTCATTTCCTCCCACACTCCAAACTTCAGGTTATGAGCCCGGGTTTTACCAAATAAAACCCGCACAACATTCACCACGTCGGTTAACTCAATTACACTTCATACAATATCATGTCTGACGTTGGTGAATCATCCAAAGCTGTGGAGGTTATATCCTCAAACAAATCGAGCTCCAGTAACATTCGCATCAAGTTTGATGGACTCCCAAAATTAAAGGGACAATCCAACTACCAAACTTGAGCATCTACCTGGAGGATTACATTCGATCCAGCAGACTGGTGGGAAGCGTTGAGCATCGAAAACCCCACAGAAGATGACACAGACCTCATCAAGATCAAACTCAAAAGAGCCTGAAAACAAATGCATAGTCTTCTCATCGGAGCTGTAGCCGAAGACAAACAACCAACAGTCGTCTCCACCGAAAATGCTTACCACGCATGGAAGGCGCTCAAAAACCTCTACGATCACGTATCACCAAATACGACGATCACCCTCCTCAGTCGTGCTCTAGACACAAAGATGCAAGATAACGGTAACCCAACCGAACATCTTGAGACATTCAATACGAACTGGAAAACTCTCAAGACCAGGTGTCAGAGCGGGGACCACAAATTCGCTCAGGCCCTACTACCCCTCACCAATTCCGACGAAGCGATGGCAGCATTCCTACTAACCTCACTGCTGAAGTCGATGGGCAACTTCATCGATAACATCCATATCAAACAGGATGTTACCTACGAAGATGTACGCCAACGGCTACAAAACATACAAGAGGAAACCCCTCTCACCGGCAACAACAGGGTACTTCACACCAGAAATACCCCCACACCAAACGGCAAGGAATGCACCTGGTGCAAGAAACGGAACCAACCGTATGTAACGGGGACAGTCTTTCCACGTATCGCTAGAATCCGATAGAAAGATTTGGCCGTGCAAGATAGAAATCAGGTTTAGATTATTCCCAAAGATTTATCGCTAATAACTCAATAATCTTTAAGGGCTCTACATCAGCAAACAATGGGATTCCTCAGGGCGCAAAGCCTACGGCTTGGGTGTCAAGAACGCCAGGTGTCGCCAGGGTAGGGTGCTCTTGCCAGGCGTCGCCAGGGTAGAGCTCCCGCGCCAGGCATCACCAGAGCATAATGCTCGTGCCAGACGATACATTCCCTCGCCCGACGCCTCCTGAACACTATTTTCCCTCTCTGGCAGCACCAGGGCACATAATCATGTATATACTCCACCAGAGACTCGCTCCAAGCAGAGCACTCGCTTCATGCAGAGCACTTGCCACAAGCAGAGCCCTCTGCCAGAGCACTCGCTGCTAGCAGAGCACTCGACCAAGCAGAGCACTCGCTCCAAACAGAGCACTCGCTCCAAGCAGTACCGAATAGTTCTCCTAATGAGCTTTTTTTTTACGCTCGCTAATGCTGCTGTCTACAGAGTGATCCTAGCGATATCACCTACATCTCCAGAGCACCCAGCAATGCTCTCTCCGCGATCTTCTCTAGGCGCATTGCGCACCCTCACGCGTCAGGAACGTCCAGGCAATGTGGTGCATGTCCTAAGAGCACCCGGCAATGCTCTCCCCGCCATGACATGCCTGGGGTATGCCTCCTGCGTCTGGATAACGATCAACGAATGAGTCTCTGCCCAGTGACTGGCAACGAATCACGGACGTGTCGGGGGTCGCCAGGAGACAGCGCCAGCGCCCTGACAGCACTCATCAGGGCTATCTGCGCCAGGAGGGCATTCTCACCGAGCTGCTCGCCAGACACCGCCGGAGCATATCGCTTAACCCAAGACAGTCTTCATCAACATGGTTTTCCAGGCGCTGCTGAGCCCACGTCTGGAGAGCATTGACCAATGCTCGTAGAGCTACCAAAACATCTTTGATAATACTATTCAAGGTGGGACATCCCCTACTTAGACCCATATGGATCGATACGCTTTCTTCAAAGGCAAGGTAGGCATCGCCAGTCTCTCAAACAATATCTCACGTGGGTATTCGTCACGCCGCTGAACGGTCAGTCGCGGAATACTGATACGAGCACTGTCGTGTATACTGGGGATGGCTACCAAACCTTTGATGAACGTGTATGTATCTGTTGATTCGTGAAAGGCATAAGCCTTGAGGTTGAGGCCATGGTACGGCTCGTCTGAAAAGCTCAATGTCCATGCCTAAGTGGCAACATGGACTGGAAAAAGATGCAGGATGACCTTACTGGTCGGAAGACCAATGCCTGCCTACCGCGTCCTCCTGGGGCGAGCTTGCAGGATAGCCAGACTCAGATACTGAGCGGCCGAAACTTACCTCCCTCTTCCAATCCGCATGCTTAGCAGAACGACACCTATTTGAATTAGATGGTCCTATTGGGTCTAACATTCCACTCGTAGAGCACTCGCCACTGCCCTCAGAGCATTCACTGAATAGCACCCGGTATTTCTCTCATATCACTGGATAGCACTCGGTAATCCTCTCACGTCACTAGTTAGCACTCGGTAATCCTCTCATATCACTGCATAGCACTCGGGAATGCTTTACAGCATTCAACTAAATTCATTCCACGTACGCAAATCTATCCTAGTATTTACCAGCCAATTGCCAGAATCCACCTCGAACAAATGGGCCATTCCTAATATACTCCGAATATTCACCACCCACATCCTCTTCCTCCTCCTCCTACAGACTTTCAGCAGCCCACGTGAGCTATCAGGGATACCACGATCCTTCGCCTCAAGCAGCTCAACTACACATAGTCTATGTGCGCGCCCTGTGCTATCCCGTACCTTGAACAAAGCCTCGTCCTGGTAAGCGTCCCCGAAACACTCCCCACTGCTCTGAGGAACCTACCGATACCCATGCCCAATCGTTTCTTATTTTCCCCTTCCTAAAAGATAATGTTCCTGTACACCTGATGTTGTGAACCTCGTATACGTCAGGTCTTTGGAATATTGGTATCGGAACCTGCAAGCATGTGAAAACCTCTACCCGACGCTCCAAAATGCTCTCAGAGCTTCCGGCAAAGCTCTGAGAGCATCCCGCATCCTCGGCATACTCCTTTATCAGGCGATACAGCGTGATATGGCTCAATTGAAGTCCATCTGCCACGTTGAAAAGTCTTTCCGATTTCGAGGAGGGATTGCAAAGACGCTTCAGGGGCAGTCCGCTTTCTACTATTGAGCGTTCATTCGGCGTTTTCCTGCGGTCCTCGATTTTGAAAATGTCGAGCAACTCCTTGAGGTTATCCCGATGGCTCCAGAGGATGTCGTCAGTGCTCTCAGGACCTCCGACGATATCTTTCAGATTTAGAATTCGGATCTCTAACGCCAATCGCCTCCCTCCATAGTCCAGTATCTGCGTCGCAGCATCAATTTTGTTAGACGCTCTGTAAGCTTCTTTTACCTGCCGTACATGGCCAAGTTCGCTGACGTCCGTGAAGTATTGAGGAATGCTCCCAAATCGCTCAACGTGCTCCCGGTAGTGCATTAAGACGTGCAATTTGATGAAGTTGAAGTGCGATCTTTCCCGGAACTCCCGGATCTCCTTCAAGCCTCGTTGGGTGCTCTGGGAGCGTTGCTTGGGTGCTCTGGGAGCTAGTTACTGCTTTCGTTCGATCTCTCGCATCTTTTAACGTCTTCTTGTACGCCCTGAATTCTAAAAAGATATCCTTGTGTTTATGGAAATCCTCGATCTAGTTCTCCATATAGTTCAGTGTGTGCATTGTATGACTCCCATATTGCACCATTAAGTGGATGTCTATTAGGCTTCGAACACATTTCAATGCTTTTGCGAAGTCGCTCCTGGCAGCCACTCCCGGGTTTCTCAGAGCAGCCGCGAGTGCTCCCAGAACGACCCGCCCCAGATTGCGCATCTCTTTCCCTTGCCATTGGGTGGTAGAACGATATGCTTTGTTTGGTACTTCCAGCCCAGGGTAAGGCGCAATCAAAGCCCAAGCGCTCTCAAACTCCTTCAATCGGTTATGCTTCTTCAAGAAGCCCTTAATCCACTCCATCATGTGCTTCAACATCCCCAGGTAGATATTGTGCAATATGTCCGGTTTATTGAGATCGTACGGATTAACCCTCGGCGTACCCCAGAAAGCATTGAAGAGTGTTTTGACTGATCTCGCCACAAGGTATTCTACCGGTTCCAGGTTGCCCAGATTCTCGCTAAATAGCTGTACTCTCTCCCTGTAGTCCTCGTGACTGCGCATAGAGCTTCAACGAGTGCTCCCAAGATTGTGAAACTCCACCTCGCATCTTGGGCAAGCACTATGGCTAATGTTTTGCAAGTTTGAATGCTCGGGTTGGTCAGCGATCCAGCCCGAGAGCACCGGAAAGCATAGTCGTTCGTAGCCATCGGCGCATTTGATTAACTCGCCCTCCTGAGAGCACTCGTGAATGCTTTGAAAGATCTCCCCAAGAGCGGGGTGCAGCGCCATTTGACTCTGACGTCGTAAAACGGAGTTAGCGAGTGTTGTATTCTTCCCGAGCTTCGGTGGCACAGGTAGAAGCCCTAGGAGAATGAATGAATGCCCTGTGGGCTTGTTGCGCACCGACGACTTGATGTTCCCGATGGTAAGATAGATTGGCCAGGCTTTCTTGTCCCCGCTAAAGTTTGTCAGATGTGTGCCATCCGACCCGCAGATAATTGGTACGACAGTGGACCCCTCCGGTAACGTATTCTATCGAGAAAGCATTAGCGACATCTCCTGGAGTACTCGGAGTTCAAGTTGAGAGGGCGAGGCCTGCAGACCTGTATCTCCCACCACCAATCTCCTGTATGTATTTCCCCGTACATTCGCTCACCGAATTCATTATGCTCCACCACCGGCGAGTACACCAATGACTCCCGGAAGGCACGTTGCCCCAAAAGATATCGGACGACTACCATTGGATCCCGGTAGTAGTAAGAGATCTTTTCCCCCCCAATATCCACCTCCGAATGATCCCAGCTCGACTTTCCCAATATGTCGTTCATTTCCTACAGCCTCTTGATAAAACCTCGCCCAGTGCTGTAGGAGCACTCGTCACTGCTTGGCGGAGCATGTAGAAAGAAGCTGTCGATGTTTCCCTGTGAGGCTTTGGACAGTACGAAATACCTTGCCATTCTGAACTCGTATGCTGACCTGAATTGGTGCCATGGGTATCGGAGAAGGCTCTGTGAGCATTCGTCGTAGTCCTCCGAGCGGTAAAGTGGTTCCCCAGCACCCTCATAAACTGTTCTAGATGCCTTATGCCGATTTAAATCACCGTCTGCCTCTTCCATCACGAAATATGATTCAGATTCTAGGTCCGAATTGTTACCGGAGTCTTGGTCAAAACTATCCGACTCCGAAGCGTAATGCGTGTCTGAATAGCAGTCGGGAATGCTCTCTGGGCTTTCATCAGTATCGTCGGGAGTCTCCGCAGGTTGATCGTGCTCCAGGAGCGAATATTGGTTTCCCAACCATTCATCTGCTTCCAGAGGATGGATCGTTCGAAGATGTCTGTCAAAGTTGGCGGAGGAGCTGTACTTCTTGCTGCAAAAAGGGTAAGACGATTTCATTGAATTCGAGAATTTGCAGTCTGCCAAGGCTGAGGAGGCTCTTTCCTGCAGGTTGTCCAGAGTGCTCTACAAGCGATTTGTCACCCCATGTGGAGTGCTCGCTACAGCGCGCTCGCCAAATGATTGTGAGCCTTGCGCTCATACCTCCACCATAGCGAGGCAGATTTTGACGTCATACATCTCCAACTGAATAATGCAAACACAAACCCCAACACAAATACAACAGGCAGAAACAACAATCACCACAATCAGGGCGCCAGTGATGCTACGTTCTACCCTCTGAGCACTCGCACACTCTCTGTGAGCACTCGCAGATGCTATTCAGATCGAGAGATTATTCTCAGCGCCAAATTTAACACCAATATCGACTACGATCTCAAAGGATAGATTGTCTCCGACTCAGCTTCCTAGCGCACAGAGCACCGATACCAACAAGAAAACAAACACCAACCCAACACCGGAATGCTGCCGACACCACTATCGATGCTACCATCAGAGCATCCTCGAGTACGCCTAGAGCATTCATCTACGTCATTTCAAATTGAATCGAATCACCATAGCACTTTCGAGTGCGCTTAGAGCATTCACCTACGTCATGTATGGGAGCAAATATTCAGCACGGTAGGAGCACCCGAGGGTGCTCTTACAGCACCCTCGAGTGCTCCTATAGCAATTTCGAGTGCTCGTATAGCATATGGTGGTGCTCTAGAAAGGACGATGATGAGCCTGGTAAAGCTGATTGTACTCGGTATAAGGACACCCTTCTCCTCCTTCCAGTTCGTGAGATATTCCTAACCATCTTGAATTTCAAGTCCAGCACTACCTGTCACTTCAAGCGCTCTGCTATCTAAGCTTTCAAGATTACCTCTTGAAAGCGCATTCAAGTCTCGTTTCAAGTTCAAGCTTTCAAGTTTCGTTTCAAGTTCAAGCTTTCAAGCTACACACTTTGCAATCATATATAAGATGGTATATCTTCCTTAACCAGATTGCTTTCTGAACCATATTCATCACACATTCACAATAGACTCCAAACTCCTCTCAGAGCACCCTCAAGCGCTCACAGAATATCGAAAAACCTCACAAAAGTCGAAAGGGCGCCATCGAGATCAAGATTCAGACGAATCCAGTACTGATAATAGTGGCAGTAGTAGCAGCAGTAGCCGTAGTAGCTAGAAATGCTCCAGCCGAAAACACAAGAAGCATAGATCTTCCCGTTCCTCATGTCGAAAGTCGCGGAAAACTCTAAAGGCTATCCCGGAAGAGATAGCAGAGACATCCTCGGAGCACTCGCCAGTGCTTTCAAGTCCCCCGCAGCTCACACCACCTCCCCCGCAGCTCCCACCACCGTCCTCACAGCGCCCGGCAGTGCCTTCAATACAGCATCAAGCACCTCATCCGCAGCGCCCACCACCTCCCCCTCAGCACTCGCAAGCGCCTCCTAGCGTTGCCCCCCTCAGCCAGAGCCCTAAAAACGCTGAAGGACTCTTCCCAAAGCAGTGGATATCATTGCAATCTGATTCTGACTCCAACGGCGAAGGCTCAGCAGCAGGCCCAGCAACACACTCAGCAAAGCGCCAAGCAGCATGCCCAGCAGCAGGCCCAGCAGGCCCAGCAGCACGCCCAGCAGCACGCTCAGCAACACGCCCAGCAGCAGGCCCAGCAGGCCTATCAGCAAGCCCAGCAGCAAGCTCGGCAGCACGCCCAGCACCCCGAAGAAGAAGAAGACGGGCACTTTTATGAGTCCCCAGTGATTCCCCAGAACTCGGCAGCTCACCGCCACCACCACCAGCCCCTGTCCGTAGAGCCGTGCTTGCAGTTCGTTCCACTGCTCCAGCAGCAACCGTCAGTGCTTCACAGAGAGCACCAAAGACAGCAACCCGACCCCCTCGCTGGCTACCAATACAGAGTTCAGTTGCTGGCCCCTCCAGAGCATTAGACACTCCTTCACCGGTAGAGCAGAGACGAAGCAGCAGAGCCCGTGCCCCAGAAACACCCCCGAGTGCTCAGGTAGCATACAGGAGTGCTCCGGAAGCATCTCCCACCGCTCAAGGTCAATTCAGAATGACTCAGGCGAATAAAGCAAAAATGACTTTAGGTTTGCTCAACCTACCTAAAGTGTACACTAACATCCACAACAGCCTCAAAGCGCAGATGCAGAACGTCGGTTGGGTTAATAAAAGCGTTTCCGGGGCAGCAGCGTTCGATGCTCTATGCCTGTATTTGATGAACTTACGCTCCCTCCGCGCTTTCCTGCCTATTTGGACAGGAGTCGATTCCGAAGCCCGTAGAGCACTCGCGGACGCTTTGAAGTGGCTGATTGGTGATGTTGGACAGAAGGAAAAGCTATCGAGAGGGCAGGGAAATCGCGAGTACAGAGAAGCTGCCGGCGATAATGATGATGATGACGACGGTGGACAGCCCGCCCAACGCTCTAGGAAGCGTAAACGGGATCCAGTGTCCGCAGATCTCGATAGACCTTCCATAATGGTCACGGTGGTAGACCCCGATGCTCTAGGAGCTTTCTTCAACGTTGTCCTGCCTCCTACCTATGACTGGAACGATCCACAAAATGAGCCTTTGTTCATTGGAATTCTGACAAAGATAACGTTTCCAGAGCTCTGCAATTTGATCCTGAAGCACACCGCACCCGGCAGAGCAATCAGGAGTATCTGGGGAGCACTGGATAACGTTCCACCAGCATCCAATCCACCTGTTCGGCCAATGGAGGTCCAAATCATTGATTCGGAAGAGGTCGAAGGTTGGTTGAAGAATAGCGTTGGCAGGCCTAGGAGAATACTGGCGGTGCTCCACAGAGCAGGCGCGGGTGCTAATTTGGGTGGCGCTGAATCACCCCCGCTGAACCGGGCACTCCCTCATATCGAAGAAGACGATTATACCATGATCGATATTCCGGCAGAGGACTCTGATTACGAGGAGGGAAGCCACCGCATCAATGCTAAAGGACTAAGGGTATATTTACCCAGAACTGATGCCAGTAATCAAAGGCTAATCCAGACTCTTGTTAGACGTCGAGATAGACAGCAGGTGTAACGGGGGTCTATGGGCGTGAGGACTATAGTGCCAAAGAATACAACCGAGGCGGGAACGTAGCAATAGGTATTCTTGGCTATGGACTATGGGGTGGCTATAACTGGTATGACAAACCAGTTGGGCCCTATGGCGAGACGTAGAACAAATGTAGTATTCGTGGAGTAGATACAAGAGGTTCTGTAAAGAGAAAAGGAAAGGAAAGAAAACATGAAAAGGCACGAGGCAACACCCCTTTATATATCCAGCTCCTAATCCGTTGATGACTCATACCTCGCGTAACGGAAACCAAAAGAACACAACAGAAAACCCATTACAAATCCTAGTCCAACTGCACAATGCTTTCTCTTCACGTTCCAATCGATCATCTTAGCCAACAAGTACCATTGCCGTTACAGATTACGCCCCTCCTCCAAGGCCTACCTCCTGGTAGGCTTAGGACTTCGTGGGTAGCGTTCATGGAATCGTCAAACCATATCAGGCGAGTGTTCAAGGTCCGATAGCGGTTGCCAAGAGGCATCGTCATATCCTGTATACCGTACTAGATACTCGAACTTTCCCTTGCGTTTCCTAGAATCCAAAATATCTTCGATTTCCCATTCTTCCTCCCCTTCGATCTCAACCGGGGGTGGTGGTGATGGTTGTTGTCCAGGTAATGAATTGCCTGCTTCGGGTGATAATAACGAAACGTGGAATACGGGATGGATCTTCATGGAGCGGGGAAGTTCTAGCTCGTAAGCATAGGGGTTGACGATTCGTTTGATACTATAAGGCCCAATCCGTTTCCAATCGAACTTTTTGGAGGGTCGCTTTGTCAGAACCTTGTGTGTCGATAAGAAAACTCTATCTCCTATGCGATAGCGAGGGGCAGGAGGACGGTTTAGATTAGCCAATTCTTCTTGTATCTTTTGCGACCGAAACATTTCGCTTTTCAGAAACTCCACCATATCCTTCATTTCTTTTGCAATACTATTGGCCTGAGCTTCCGCTGTGGTTTTACCGTGTTCCAAGGGGCCGAAAGTCATCCTGGGATTTCTTCCCGAATTGGCATGGAAAGGAGAGACCTTTCTTGTTTCCGAGACATGATTGTTTGCTGCAAACTCGGCCATTGCCAATAGTCGAGCCCAATCATCTTGTTGATAAGAGACATAACTCCGAAGATACTGTTCCATTACGGCATTGATCCTTTCAGTTTGTCCATCAGTTTGAGGGTGGAAGGCGGTGGAGAATCGTGGGGATATTTCTAGGCGTTTGCAAAGCGACTTCCAAAATTCCGCGACAAATTGTGTTCCTCTATCAGACACGACAGTATCAGATAGTCCATGTAGCTTCCACACATTATCGATATACAACCTCGCTACCTCCTTCGAGTCCACCTCTTTAGTCGTTGGTATCAGATGTCGCATTTTGGTTAGTCTATCAATGACAACTAGGATCGCAGTATATCCATCACTCTCAGGAAGGTCAGTAACAAAATCCATCGAAACATCCTTCCATGGTCCATCGGGTATTGGCATTGGACGAAGTACTCCATAAGGCGCATTGCGTGGTGCCTTGCTACGGGTACACACATTGCAGTTCCTAACATATCGATCGACGTACTTTCGCATTTGTGGCCAAAAATACTCCCGACTTAAGAGTTCCAATGTCTTTGTTCTACCTGGGTGGCCTGCTGATGGTTTATCGTGATGTTCTTGTAGGAGCCTCAGCCGGAGGTCATTATCATTTGGTACATAGAGTGCACCTCGATAAAGTAGCCGACCATTATTGTCTTCCGTACATTCGGCAAGTGAAATTTTATTTGAATGCCGAAGGTCACTCCGAAGCATGACGAGAACTTCGTTTGGGAAACTATCGATTTGGTAAGCTTTTGAAAATAACTCCTCCACAGTGGACATTCCTTCAGCGGATTCGTTTGATAAAGAACCCGCGAACAAACTTAGCTTTGTATCCAAATTTTTTTGCTTCAGGACCACTTGGCTCTGATGCGTTAACCGTTCATCCCCCTCTTTAGGTAGGTCACCTGACCTTCTAGTCAATGCATCTGGTTTTGCTCCTTGTTTTCCTGGTCGAAATTGTATGACGAAATCGAAGCGTGAGAGAAATTCAGACCAACGAGCTTGCCGGCGATTTAACAATTTTGTCGTCATAAAATATTCCAGGTTTCAGTGATCGCTAAGAACTTCGATAGGAAATTGTGCTCCTTCTAAATGATGTCGCCATTTTTAGAAACACCGCACAATTGCTAGAAGTTCTTTATCATAGATTTCATAGTTACATTCTGCAGGGGAATGTTTCTTGGAAAAGAAAGCCACCGGATGTAAAATTCCCTCATCATCCCGTTGTGATAGAATTCCTGCTGAAACATAGTCGGATGCATCGGTTTCCACCACAATCTTTTGATCCGGATCGAAATGAACCAGTATAGGCGCAGTTGTGAACATTTTTTTTAAAATCTGGAATGCTTCCTCCCTTTCATCTGTCCATTCGAATTTTACATTTTTCTTTGTTAAAGCTGTAAGCGGGGCGACAATCTTTGAATATCCTAAAATGAATCGTCGATAAAAATTCGCGAATCCCAAAAATACTTGAACATCATGAAGGTTCATGGGTGTAGACCATTCTAGAACATCGATAACCTTCTTTGGATCCATTCTATTGCCATTTGGGGTGAGGATTAAACCGAGATATTTCGTCTCTTGAACCATAAATTCACATTTTTCGGGTTTGAGATGAACATGATTCTCATCCAATACCTTTAGAACCTTTCGAACATGATCCTTGTGTTCTGCGAGGGATTCGGAATAGATGAGAATGTCGTCTAAATAGGCCCTCACAAATTGATCGAGATAGGGGCGTAGGATGTCATTAATCCAATGTTGGAATGTAGCCATAGCATTCGCTAATCCAAAGGGCATTACCGTATATTCAAAATGTCCATATCGAGTCCGGAATGCTGTTTTCCATTCATCTCCCTCCGCGATTCTTATTTGATTATATCCCCAGCGTAAATCCAACTTGGTATAATATTTTGCTTTTGACAATTTGGCCAGGGTTTCCTTCAACAACGTCAATGGGTAACGATTTTTGATCGTAATTGCATTGAGGCCCCGATAGTTGACACATAAACGAAGGGTTCCATCGGCTTTCTTGACGAATAGTATGGGCGCTCCCGCTGGTGATTCACTATGGCGGATAATTCCTTTGGGTAGATTTTCCTGAAGGTAATCCCATAGTGCCTTTAACTCAACTTGGGACAGAGCATAGATTGGTCCCCATGGTGGTTGTTTGCCTTCTTCTAACACTATTTTCATGTCATGGAACGGTCGATGTGGTGGGAGGGTTGGAGCATCATATTCTTCAAACATATGAATATAGCGATGGAACTCTCTCGGTATCAGTTGTTCAATATCGATGGTAGATTTTTCAGTCGCTGAAACGGTAACGGTATGGGTTTCCGGTAGAGGAATCGATATGCCATGAACTGTAATGGCAGTTCCACTAAGCGAACAATATTGGCAGCAACTTCGAGAGTCAAAGATAAGCAAATTTTCCTTTGGTCGAATCGTAACATCATGGCGTCGCATCCAAGGTATCCCCATCACAATTGGATATTGTCCCAACTTTGTCACAAAACATGATGCAGTCTCTCGATGGACATGAATGTCTAGCGAGACATCAACAATATGGGTGATCTTTCCTGACTTAATAGGTCTGCCATCTATGACATCCACATGGCGGGGTGTTTTGAGGGGGGTCATGGTGAGATTGTTGTGGCGTGCAAAAGATTCGTCAATAAAAGCATATCCTGATGCTCCGGTATCAATAAGGGCGTAGGTGGGTACGAAAGTATTTTTATTCTGTGAGATCAAACAAGTTACTACAAATTGGTTCCCATCCATTTCCTCCTCTGATACCGAAAAACCAGAAATACACATCTTGGAAAAATCCTTAAATGGTCCCTGGGCTAAGCCACTTAGTGCAGGGACAAATCTTTCGCTGACTCGTTATCGCTTCCTTCATTTTCCTCCATTCTCAATGCTGCTCCCCTCATCACCGGCCTCCTCGGTTGATTTCCCGTTGCCCTTGCTTGGGGGCAGTCTCTAACCATATGTCCGACTCCTCCGCAATAGAAACATCGGCCCTCAGCTAAGCGGGCGTTTCTTTCAGTAGGGGTAGGGCGACGACGTCCTCCAGACAAATCCATCGGTACATCGCCTCCCGGACGGAACGAGGGATGATTCTCAGGGTGGGTGCATTGACAGCTGGGGCGGCAGCACGAGGAGCAGGGGCAGGGTTTGCGGGTGGGGGACGAGGGTTCGGAGCAGCAGTAGCATTCCAAGGCTTTTTACTTCCTCGCTTAGCTTCTGCAGCTCGACGGCGATTATCCAACCGTTGCAAAAGTGTTGCACAGGCATCTACTGTTGCAGGAGTTTCGTGATTTATCATTGACTCGTCGAGTTCCGCATTGATGCCTTCCATCAAAGCCTCAATCCGAGAGACTTCATCCATCCCTGACTCGGCAGCATATCTTTGAAATTCGGCAAAGTAATCGGCGAAGGTTCGATTTCGTTGACGGATGTTCCTAAGGTTCCTTCTAGCCGTGCGCATTCGATCAGGGTCCCCGAACGCTGTATCTAGGATTTCATAAAACCGCAACATGGAAGGCAAAGCGATGCCTTCTTCTCCGACGTATTGTAAGAACTGATTAGCGGCAACACCCTCTAATCGACTGAATGCATAGGATAACTTGGACTGTAGTGTGGGAAAGCGGTCGGCGTTTCCCAATAACTTAATCCTCATTTGTTGTTTGAATAGGTGTAATCTCTCTCGATCGCGGTCTCCCCTAAACACCTCAGGATCTGGGAGCTTCTCTGACCGTTGAGTCGTAGCCACAATAGGTGGTATTGGAGGCGCAGGTGGGACATCATCACCACCAATCGGTTCTTCGTCAGGGGCCACGACCTCAACAGCGACCCGTTGAGCTCGAGCAGTAGCAAGGTCTCGTTCAAACATCTCCCTTGCATTCCCAGCCTCCCTCTCCACTTCCTGTAGGTCCGTTGCATACTGAGCAAGCCCATGTTGGGCACGTTGGAGAAGTGCATAAGCTTCTATCCCGACATTATTGTCTACATCTGGGTGTTCTTGGAAAAAGGCTTGAAGGGCCTCGCTTAGCTGTTGATAATCAATAGGGGCATGTCCCGACATCGTATGCTATGGTGTTGTATTGGTTGGCGATAGAGGACGGAACCTAGTGTAACGGGGGTCTATGGGCGTGAGGACTATAGTGCCAAAGAATACAACCGAGGCGGGAACGTAGCAATAGGTATTCTTGGCTATGGACTATGGGGTGGCTATATCTGGTATGACAAACCAGTTGGGCCCTATGGCGAGACGTAGAACAAACGTAGTATTCGTGGAGTAGATACAAGAGGTTCCGTAAAGAGAAAAGGAAAGGAAAGAAAACATGAAAAGGCACGAGGCAACACCCCTTTATATATCCAGCTCCTAATCCGTTGATGACTCATACCTCGCCTAATGGAAACCAAAAGAACACAACAGAAAACCCATTACAAATCCTAGTCCAACTGCACAATGCTTTCTCTTCACGTTCCAATCGATCATCTTAGCCAACAAGTACTATTGCCGTTACAGCAGGATGCTATCGACGACTTAGACCCCAAATACCTGAGGAAATATCCTTTGGGTGTTGGGGTTGCTGACCCGAACTTTGTACAGGGAGTAATCTGGACGCCTGCCGGGATAGCAGCCAAGAGAGCTGCTGACGTACTCGCGGCTGCTGGTGGTGGAGGCGGTGGTGGAGGCGGTGGTGGTGGTGGAGGCGGTGGTGGTGGTGAAGGCGGTGGGGGTGATGGCGCGCATCATTAGTTTTCTTTAGGATAATCTCGCGTCTGTCTTTCTGCTCAACGAATGCTTACCTCTGGATAGGGGTTTGTATTGTTTTCTGAGCACTTGCGAGTGCTATTGGCATCATTACTCTTCTTTGGTATAATCTCTCGTCTCTCTTTCTGCTCAACGATCGCTTACCTCTGAATAGCGGTATGTCTTGTTTTCTGAGCACTGGCCAGTGCTCCTGGGATTTGGTTCGGTGCTATTTGATGTCTAGATCTCTTTATATGAATAGATGGGTTTCATCGTTTTATATTTTCTTATATTAGATTAGATTAGATTAGATTTGATTACGTTCTTCCATTTCTTCTTAATTGAATTGCAATCGGCTCAAACTTCTACATTGCTCTCAGAGCACTCGTTATCGCTTTAGAAAGTGCAGTAAAACGAGTGATTAGAAAGGACTCGGATGCGGGTGAGCGGACCGGGATGCGGTGGAGCGGATCGATACCATAGGAGGTTAGCGGTGAAAATTCTTCTCGCTTGGCGACGAAAACTCTGTCGCCAAGCGTTGATTTTTAATCAAAACATGCAGAAGAATGCTCCTAGAGCATATTGGATACTCCTGCCAGCAAGCAGAATGCCTCTCAACAAGCGATCCGCAGGTTCTACACCTCTTTCCACAAAGCGACCACGACTCCCAGTACTACCCGAAGAGCATGATGATTCACAGACTGACGGGTCTGAAATACCATTCCGAGCATTGACCGCACTGTCAACTAACACTCGGAGTAGTCAATCGACCAGAACTCGGAGCGGTCAGTCGACCACCGCCCCAATAGCGCGTAAAGGGCTTCTCCGTTCTACCGACACATCGACTGGAAGAAGCAGCACTAGAAGGGTAGAATTCCATCTCCCCGATGGCAATACTGGCAGCGTTGAAGTGCAAGAGGTGGAGGAAACCGCCGATACCAGCCACTCGGAGTACGAAGACTCCTCAGAGAACGCCCAGGAGAGCTCTGAAGAGAATCTGGATGACGTGGAAGAAGAATCTCAAGCTTCCACCCAGCAGAGATCCCAGAGTACGGGGAAGAGGCCTCGTACAGTACAGCCGACTACTGCCAGAGCACTGGGCAATGCTCGGAGGAGACCAACCGGAGCGGTAGCGGAGGTTATTGCTTCCTCCGACGTGTCGGTGGATGTGGTACAGGTTCGACTCCATCCCACTCATTAATGTTAAGGTCAAAACGCTAACGTTTCAGAGGGGAGCACGTCCGGGTGCAAATGTAGTACGGAGAGTAGCTCCCACTTCGGCACCCAGACAGAACGCATCCCAGTGGGCGCCCACCGCATCCTACAAACCCACTCCGGCACCCAGCCAGGAAGCATCTCAAAAATCATCCCCGGCATCTCAGGGAGCATTCTCGGCATCTCAGAGAGCACATCCGATATCCTCACAGCCCATGCCTTCTTCTATACCTGTTTATTCTCGTGATATTGACTACAGCTCTTCTTCACGGCACATCGATCTTTCCTCGATTCGTTCGAGGTACGGCGATTCCTCACCCATTTACCGCCCTTATCGTGCTTCCCCGCCTCTTGAGGGCGTTGGCAAGAGCTCTATGAGCAGTCCCCGGATTCCCTCAAGCGCTCAGGTAGATTTACCAGAAGCGCAACCAAGAGTCTACGATATTGCACAGCTTTCGTCCTCAATTAGGGAAGGAAATGCTCCTATGCCAGAAAGCGAGGTTAGTAGTATTCCCGATAGCACTGACAACCGCTTTGAGAGCACAGTTAACATTCATGGGAGCAACCTATCTCAGAGATCCCTATTACCTAGCTCGAGGAGTGCAAACGTTCTCTCAGTGCAAGCCCAGAGGATTGAGAAGGAGTGCAGCAGGCTAATCGGGGACCACACCTTTCTACATGAGCCTTTTCCACCTGCAGCGAGGCTTTCGGTCCTGGTAGTAAACATGTGGGCAGCTGCCAGTCGCAGGGTGGGATATACGGCGGATCTCGACGAGGTTGTTGTCAAACAGGTGAATGCTCTCGTAACGTTGACGAGTGCTCTGGAAGCATAATTGACAAAGATAGGTCAGAAGTCTACACTCCTGAGTGCGTTCGCACTTGATGCACGAGGTTAAAGGGCGTCTGATGGATACGACCATCTATGGCCTTGGAAAGCTCTCGAGTCCTGAGGCGAAGGCTGCTCAAGTAGAGTATCTTTTGAAGAATGATCGCTTCTTGAGTTCTGCGCAGCATTATGAGGTATGATCAATCCCCAGAGAGCATCCGGGGGTACTAATAGAGCACTCGGGTGTTAATGCTCGGAGAGCACCCGGACACCAGGAATGCTTGGAGAGCACTCGCGAACGCTGCTAACAGATACTAGACCTACCGTCTACGGTTTCTTGCACCAGAGATTATCGACATATTGTACTAGAAATACTTTGATGCGGTCAGGATGCGAGGGGTGAAAGACCCCGAGTTCCTTGAGCGGATTACCCCTACCTTTATTTGCCTGATATCGACTGCTATTTCGCATGGCATTCGGGCATGGTCAGCCGGAACATACGTGAAGCCTGACCATTTCCAGTCACAGAATGAGAGTCTTGTTAGTAAGCATCCCCGATCCTCTCACATCCCCTTACAGCTATAGCTAGTGCTTTGAGAGCAGTGACGGGCGCTCCCAGAGCTATAGTGTATCTCCACGCTGACATTGAATACGAGTAGAAATGTTCAACAGGATGAGCAACACATGGAAGGGGAGGAATAGGCAGAAACAGGAGGCAACGTTGGAGGTGATCAAGGATAACCTTCAAGAAAAGGTGTGCTATAAGAATGGATGCTACAATGGTGGGGTGCTTTTCGAAATACGGAGGCTAACCTTTATAAATACGAGAGAAGAAGGGCATCACTATCGAGTTGATACCCGAAGATGGATTCAGCGAGGACGATGAAGCGTTAGCGGCGGATCTTGCAACATTCCGGAATGCTCGAAGAGCACCCCCGAGTGCTCCAGGGGATATCTCTTGTTCCGACAACGGTAACGGCCAGGAAGAGATGGTTCACGCTCAACTTCGGGGCATTGAAGTGGAAGATGAAGGGGAGGGGAGGGATGAAGAGGAGGATCGCGAGGAAGGCGAGGAGGAATATGATCTATAGCGTACCGGCGAGTGCTTTGGAGAGCAGCGGCGGGTGCTTTGGGGAGATTCCTATATACCTGTATTATATCCAATTGGCGATTTCTAGACGTTTGTAGTGTTAGTATTTAGTAATAGAATTACGGTTCTGGATGCTCTGCAAAGCAGTGCCTACTAAAGCAAACAGTAATATGTCTGATAAAAACAGGGCGCTGAAAGGTAAAATGCGGTGCCTCGGGCGTCGCGGGAGCAGTCGGGAGTGCTCCAGAAACATCAGCGATATGCGCAGGAGGCGTCAGAGAGCTCCAGGAGCGCCCAGGAGATAGGTAGTGATCTCAGGCGAGAAAGCATTCCATCGGGAGAGAGTCACGCAAGGGAGCCTTTAGTCGGGATAGCGTCAGGCGAGAGAGCATTCTGTCCGGATAGCGTCAGGAGTAAAAGCATTCCATCGCGAGAGCGTCCGGGAAGGAGTACACCTCCGGGATAGCGTCAGGCGCGAGCTCACCCCGTCAAGGTGAGCGTATTGCTCTCGGGACGCACTAGCTGCACTACTGCGCGCCTGGGTGCGCAGGGTAAACTGGTGCTCGCCAGGCCGGAACACTATGCGCCAGGTGGCGCCAGGAATGTTCCTTGATTCTCTGGAGAGGCAGTTTGTCTACCGAGTGCCCAGGGCGCCTAGAGCGTCCAGAGCGTCTGCCGGAGGTTACGGGTTTGCTGTTGTACTACCGAGTAGAATCTACTTGATCGTTCTCATTAAGACTTGAGAGAAACGGATAGTTGGGCGGGAAGGATCCTGAGTACCTATACTCCAAGGGATTCCGTTCCGCTGCTCCTACTTCCTTACTAAGTTCTGGTGGATACCTTCTAGTGGAAGGGAAGCAATACGACCACTACCCCGATTCTCTCTAAGCGTTAGCAGGTATTTCCAGTTCCGAAGGCAACCACCCTTAGTCAAAGCTTTTTGTAACACCTGCAGTCTTGGTTGTCGCACAACCGGGACCTGCATGAATGAGCTACTGCTCAGGTGTAAGCTTAATCGTTGCTTTAGAGCTCATCACTTATTGTAGACTTCCCAGGCATAGTCCCTGCCACTACCGGCGGACTTATCATGCTCGGAGGATATAGAGCATCGCCGAGCACTCAGAGCTTCACTCTGGCTGGCCTTCTAATCATTGGTGAGGCATAGACTCGTCAGTCATTACTTCCATGAATAGATTCTCTTCCTAGTGCTCAGAATGTAGTTGCTCTGACAGCTAGTAGCTAACCACACTGCCGGTACTTGCATGTCACTGTGCAACTGGTTTCTATCAATGACTCTCAGCATGTAACCGGTGAAGTTAAGGGACAACGCGGGTGTTGTGCGGAAGGACACAATAGTGGTTAAACTATTAAATCGTCAGCCTGATTTCGAGGCGGAGAGAATTCAAAGAATTTAGACAAGAAACGGGAGCAGAGAAAGCTAGATTCTAATGTCTATATTATATGTATCGCTTGATTGATTAAAGTCAGAAGAAAGAGAAAAACAGCCCGATATTTATACAAGAACCGTGTCCCTGCCGACCGAGAAAGAAAAGGAAACTAAACAGGTGGGAAAGCCATTTGACCCCAAGAAACTGCCAAGAAGTATGGAAACAGATAGCAGAGTGTCGGTTGCGTAAGCATCCGATCACATACATAAGTGTATGACTCAATATTCCAACATAGGAAAATAATACCCGAGATGACAACCCATATGTAAAGTAGAAACGTAATAGAAACCCAAAAAAAAATAGTTAACAGTATAAACCCTATATTCTTTATGAAATGACTCGTAATGAAATGTATGGAGATAAACAGATATCAACGAAGTAAATGAAAGAAACAAAGTTCACCGTAAATTCCAACAACTGGGCCCTGTGTGTACTCATACACCAGACAGTTGAGGTGGCTTCGTTACACCGTACCAGGGCTACGAGTACAAGGAGTGCAGAAAACTCAAAAAACAGAACAAGACAAGGGACAGAAACAGGAGGAGATCAGGCAGGGATAATTCAGCATTGGTAGTTATTAACGAATCATCCACAACAGTATGCATGTTACGCACCGAGACCTCACCTTCCCTGCCCATTACCTGGATTCTTGACTCTGGAGCTACTTCTCATATAACATATTTCAAAGATCAACTCTTCAACATCCGTCCTCACACCAGCACAGTTCGAACTGCTGACGGCACTACTTACGCTGTCCCCGGATTGGGAATACCTAGTTTTGAATGCTACTTTCCCAATGGATATAGATCCACCTTTGTCCTCACCGACATGCTGCTGGTCTCAAGTATGGTAAATGTGGGATTGGTCTCAGAAACCGTACTCGACAAAAATGGGTTTAGAACAGAGTCAGGAGGAGGAAACAAATTGGTCACGAAAGAAAAGAAAGGAATACTTTGGGAGAATTGCATAAGGGACTTTGGAATATACAAGTAGTTAGCAATACAGTTTGCTTGACCACTTACTCTGAATGGCATCAAGCTCTAAGCCATCCTGCGACACTAGAAAAAAAGACATCCATAAGCTACCCCTCAAACCAGAAACATTCCATTGCAGTCAATGCGAACTATCAAAGGGTGTACACAAGAAACCTGCACCAATTAGTACAAGATTCCAGCGAGTATTCAAACTAATCTACTCTGTCTTATCTGGAAGATTCGGTGCACAATCGCAAGGAAAAGCCCTGTACTACATGTCTCTGATTGACGACTATACCCGCTTCTCCTGCATATATCTGCTAAAACAAAAAGACGATGCGATAAAAACCATCAAAGACTACATCACAAAAATCGAGAAACAGTACAATACTATAATACTGAGATTCGGAACTGATGGTGGTGGCAAATACGACAACAAAGACACAATGAATTCCTTCAACACACAAGGAATAGTCCACGAACAAACTCCTCAATACATCCCTGAATCAAATGGAGTTGCACAATGATTCAATAGGACGATAACCAGAATGGTCAAGTGCATGATCATAGACCATCCAAAATCGTTATGGGGTGAAGCATACTCAACAGCTATCTAGCTCCAAAACAGGCTACCTCATAGTACGCCAA